TATATATATATATATATATATATATATATATATATATATTAACACGTACTGGGAAAGTTCTGGTAGGACATAGTTTGTTGCTCTGCTATTTCTAAGGCTCTCGCTTGATCAAAAGCCTCTTGAAAATTCAGCGTACTATTTTCCGTTAGGTGTGGTCTGATTCGGTTAGATTGAATTTCGTTAATAAATGAACTGGCTCGGTATTTGACTGCAAAGATTTTCAGAGGATCGTTGTATTAGTTTTAACTATTATATTCGGATTTTGTGTACGTCAGTCAATTTCGTGACATTTCTCATACCGTGTTTTTTTCTTTTGTAGACCTTAACCATAAAATATTTTAAATTGTTCGTTTTAAAACTTTGCGTTTCAGTACACCTTGTGTTTGGCATTCTAGACAATGAGTCTATTCGGAAATCAACCGTTGTTTGGAGCTCAGGCCTCACCTCTAACTACCAACGTAGCCACAACCCAATCTACGACCGGAAACATTTTTGGTGGGTTCGGTTTCGGCACGCCTACGACCACTCAGAGCACTGGACTCTTTCAACCGACGGTATCCAATCCAGCTGGATCCTTGTTCCCTAGTTTTACCACAAATGTGACCCAATCTACTTTCTCAGCTTTTCCTGCGTTCTCCACCGCGTCGCAGGCTGGCGGACTGTTTGCGCCACAGACTAATCTGGGCTTGGGATCTACTTTCAAACCGCTTCAGACGGGAACAAGTTCTCTTTTTCAACCACAAGGAGGTAATTATTCGCAATATCATTCAATAATGAGTGATATTTTGTAACATATAGCGTGTGTGGGGTGCGGGTTGATACATTTTCCCAATTTTCAAGCTACGGTTTGCAATTGCTTTTCCCCCCTATGGTGTTTGCGCGAATATGGAATCTAAATATAGTTTTTCATTGGACAAAATTAGCAGTTAGCAATGTGCATCAATCTTTTGAGAAGCACTTTATTTGCACTTAGTAAATTGGATGGAAGTACAGCTTTTAATTGAGAACATATAGAATTCGTTTGCTATATAATGCACAATTATCCGCTTATTTGTATTTCTATAAACTGTACTCTTCACTCTCTGTTCGTTTTCCCTTGCCCTTGTTTTCGCTCTCATTATTATTTATTTTGTCGGATTCAAATGTATTGTCATTCACAAAATAAATGTAACCTGAGTGTGTTCTTAGCCCGGCAAATCTACCCACTTTACCAGCCCACAATGCAATTATTTCTTCAATGCTCATTCTTTTTTTACTAAACCAATTTATATAGCCTGGTGCCTCTTAACAATCGAATGAGCTAATCCAAGCTTGCTACCGTAAAACTTATAGCCACAAGTATATCGGATAATGTGAAACCCGAAGATGAAGAAGTCTCTCAATTGGCGACCAATGAATGCAGTCATCTCCGCAATGTGTGTATTCATTTATTTGGTTTCATCCTTGATTGGCCGTTTCACTTCAAATCGGTCCATGAGTTACCATTTTGACGATATGCAACACATACTGGATCACCTTTCAGACTTCGTTTGATCGAAAACAGTTGTCAAAATGTGAAACTCATCATTGACTGCAAGTATTGGCAAACTACCATCATCAGCCACTTCTTTTCTTAAAATTGAGTTAACAATTACCCTAGCTCTAAATGGTGTCCCGACGGAGACACAGAAATAACACTAGCGTGTCCTAACAAGAGTGGAACAACTGTTTAATGCTATTAGTTAGTCCTCACATTAGAAATAAATTCAACTTTTGGTATGAATGGAACTGAGCGAGTGAAGCAGGCAAACCACCGTATTTTCAGGGAACTGTTTCGGCAGAGAATTCGATGTATCGCCAAATTCATCTTTGTATAGACTCCACTAGTTAGGGTGTGTTGTCCATGCTCAAAAGTCCTCTGTTGCAGTTACTGTCCCCAGGTTGAAGAAACTCACGCGGAAGTCAACAGATCGCGCAGAGATGAGGCATAAAGAAATGCGCAGGCTGTTTTCTTTATTACACACCTAGGTGTGATAAACAGCAAACGGGGTAAACCCCATAGTCACGAGGATCTGCTGTTAAGTGGTTGAAATCGGCAACCTAAGCCCCGGAACTTGAAGTGGCAAACCACATAAGGCCCCGATAGGTTAGGCGTGGTATTGAACCGGACGACAGCAGAGCTGCCTACCACCAAAGTCGGGTGGCGGTGGCGGGGCTCGAACCTCGAACCATAGGGTCCAGAGCACGCCGGTGACAGGCTGAATAGGTATCTCCCGTCCTCCAAGCTGGGATCCAAGACACTCATTAACCGTTGAGTTGGAGATATCAAAGAATATAATAGCAAACCGGCAGCAAATGCGTTGCTGTCATCTGGTTAGGATTCTGAAAGAGACATGAGTATGCAAACTTACATCAGGTACTCTGTGTGTGTGCGGAACATAGTGGCTTACTTTCTTTACTGTCCCCCTGGAAACAAGCCCACTCCATGTGCGGTTTGCACATTCTCATTGGCTTTGCATGTCTCGTTAGCTTCACGGCGATCAGTGCAGTTCGTTTCACTGTATCACACTGTACGATGATAATAATGATGATTAAAGGAATCTAACTGCATATGAAAACGAACATAACATGTGAGAAATATATCAACGCCCACGGAGTGAAACATATAATACACCCAGTACGTGGCTCCTGGGGCCTACAGAAAATAGGCCATGCTAGAAATTAACAATCCTCGACGTTGCTCAGATTGCCTGGGCACTGCTTTTATCAACTGTTTTCAGGATGGTATTAGTATTTACTGGTCATACAGTTGTAATTCGTCGTACAATGTCAATGCGTCACCTAAAAGTTATTCCTTTTTTCGTAGGTCAATCGCTTGGACTCGGTATCACAGGTATGACACAGCCGGCACAAGTACAACCAACCAGTCAACAGAACAGTGTAGATGCGTTCTTCGCCTCATTGTGCCAACCACTGTTGTTTAATGACGAACGGGACAAAATTCTAGCCCGATGGAATCAGCTACAAGCCATGTGGGGTACCGGTGTCGGTTACTGTTCGCTCGGTGTCGCTTCCTACACACCGGAAAACACGTTTGCTCGATTCAAAGCGATCGCTTACAACGCGTTGCCAACAAGCACCGACGAAGATGGCCTCGTATGCCTTTATCTGTCACGTCCGTTCTCCGAGGTGTTGCCTCAACGTCAAGGTGTTCAGGACACACTGTTTCGTTTGTTAGGAGGCCGTCCAAACTTGCAACTAGTGGTTGAAGAAATCCGCCCGTGTGCTGAACAAGAAAACTGTACTGAGGTGATTTTTAAAGTGATGGAAAGGCAAGCAACAGGTAAGTGTAGTTTTTTGCCGCGTATCTCAAAAAGTGTACACGTTGTAAATGATTGTGATATAAAACTGTCTGATAATTCAAAACAAGTAGTGGACAAATTTAGAAGTCAATCATTTATCGGTGTTGTTTGAGTTTTTTTGTCTTTTTCGGTCTGGTACAGCTGATATCGTTTATCAGTGCAACCCAAACATTTCCAGTCGTCTCAACTATTATTTTCTCATCTCTTCCTTCAATAATAACTCAATGGTTGTAGTTGGTCTTGTCCCCTAAGTTCGGTTTCAGTGCTGTTTGTATAAAAATTACCCTGGCACTTTCTTTTGCCGGTCTTACTGCTACTGTTTGATTGTCGATCAATAAGGAAGGGGTAAAAAAATGCTCAAGATTCTTGCACAAAAAGAAGTCCGACCGGGGGAAAGTTAAGCGCTTATGAAAGTTACTCGACTGTCTTTTTGTGCTACTCATCTATTTGCAAGGGTAGTGTGAAGGTGCTCCGTCTCGCTAGAAGTATAGTTCTTCGTGCCCTAACATCTCTCAATGCCATGATATGATGAATTCCTGTAACAACTTAAGTTGCACCATGGTGTATAGTCACCTCTGATTCGAGAGCAGAATCTTTTCTGTTGAGGGACCTTATTCCGAACCTTCGATTAAGTGCACAGAATCCTCAATCTAGTTATGCAAATGATCAGTGAATTAGAATGCATGTTTACATTTGACCATGGAATCATACGATCCACCTGATTTCTCGCATCATCTCTGTTTTTATGTAACGTGATCAGGATATCACGGATCATTCCGAAACTGAGCACATTATGTACCATTAAATAGGGTTACTTTCAACTAGATATGACGACTGTGCTCGAAGTGGTCCTGGATTCCGGTACCCTTTTCTGCACAATAACAGAATAAACTCAGGGCAAGTGATTCGTGCCCAAAACAACCGAATCCATGTTGCACCCGTTTCGAGCTATCAGAATCGGTTGTTGATGTGATTCTCATCCACGCGGAGTCATTTCTACACTAGCAATCGGATTAGGACTCATCAAACTAATCCACTAACATTTGTTAAGATGGATCATACTACGACGAATTTTCTGTTCCCTGTTGTGTTGGCTCCCATTTCGAAGTTGACCAAATGCAAACACCTCAAGTTAAGTCATGTAAAACCATCACGGTTAAGCAGAACACCAACCTTATTGGTGCATCTTTTTGATCCACATTTTATCTTGACTAGATTACATTGTTTGGGGCATGTGTTACGCATGTCACCAGATAGGTTGCCACGGCGTGCGCGGTGTTTGCCGAGGCGGGTAGTGAATGGAAGAAAAACAAGGGTGGTCAAGAGAAGACCCGACATGAGGGTATGAAAACCCTAACCAGGAGTCTGGGTCACTAGGTCCCGTTAGGCTCCCTGGATGGGGACCTCGGGATGATCGTACCCGGTGGTTAGAGACACTGGATGATATAGCTGATCGGTTTTATGGTCACAGGGGTCTAACGTTCAGTAATATTTTGAACTCTTGGTCTTGAATTAATGGGTCATGTGAAACCTTTCCAAGGCCGCGTTTTCTCGGGGGTAATAAGGTCTCTTCTTTGCCCCCAAGGAATACTCTTATGGAATACCTTTCTCAGAACATCCGCTGAGTAAGCAAGTCCTGCTCACTATCTTCTCGTATCGAGGGTGTTTTGGATAAACTTGGGGTGCTAACAGCCAATATGCCGTGCCATATCATCATCGAACAGCGAGATACAGTGAAGCGAACTTCACTGATCGCTGACAAGCTCACAATGTACACAAATCA